ACCAGTCTTATTTCCTTCTTTTCTACCATAGTTTACTGTTTTTTTTGAAAAAAAGTTTGTTGTGATTTTGGTACAAGAGATCGTCGGGAAGAGTGATCCGTAAGTTTTTTTAACTAGTACTCTGATTAAAGACTATAACATAGAATAAAAACCTATCTAATAGAAATATTGCAAATAATTTATACAATAGTTAATGTTGAATTAAAATATTAAGATAGTTCACTAGTTATCCTTTTTCTTTATCAGAGAAGTTAGTCTTTCTTTTATGTTTTTTTAACTTCAGAATCATTTGGATAACCATAGAAGTAAAAGCATCATTTGGTATATTATCCTTCCTAAAGTTGCTATAATTTAGCTTGAATTTATTAAAGTATAGTATTTCATGTATGTTTTTTAAAACACTTTCAATATAATTTTTGTTACTCCAATTTAAGTTCAAGTAATTCATCAGAATTTTGAACTACTCGTGAACTTCATTCTCTGTTCTTGTATCTAATACTAGGTTGTCTTTTATGTATCTAACTATATTATTAGAAAGTTTATCAAGGTAGAAATTAGACTTGGTAAGAAAGTACTCATAATTAACTAATTCAAAATTTATACTCTTGTATACTTTAGCATGCATAACAAAACCTAGTATAAATATAGAATTAGTAATAGAATGTAATAAGTTTTGCATATTTAACATCTTACTTGGCATCTTAGATATTTTATGTCTCTCTTTTTTAATTCAAGTTAATTCTTGCATATTATTTGAAAATTCTTTCATGTTATTTGAAAGTTCTTTCATGTTATCTAAAACTTTTTTTATATTATTTGAAAGTTCTTTTATATATTTTAAAATTTCACTTATGCTATCTAAATTTGTTTTCATAGTTTTTAAAAGTATTAAAAAAAAATTAGAACCTAACAAACTCGTTTCACCAAATTTACTTGACAAGCTCTAAAAAAAACAGAGCTTGTAAGAATAAAAGTTCCAAATTATAATATTTTAAAATAATACATATATTATCTCTTCAAAGTCACATGTAAGATCCTTCACAGGAGCAAAACTTACATTTTTGATACTCTTGCATTTACTTTTTTGATACTCCTGCATTTACTTTTTTGATACTGATCAACAAACAGATACTAGTAAAAATAAAAAATTTAAAAATATTGAGCAATAATATCCTGATATCTACTTGCTTAAATCTGATAAAACTTTTCGATTTGAATTCTATAGATTTATAAAATTCAAATAAAAAAAAATTTGTTGAATTTAGTTATGTGGCTGTCAAGATAGCTTCGCTCAAAATTAGAAAAAAATCAAAATACCTTCAAAATAGAAACTGTGCCAAATTTCTCTTTAACTTTGAGCGAAAATATCTCAATAGCCATCTAACCAAATTCAATAAACTTTTTTTATTTGAATTCTATAGATCCATAGAATTCAAATAAAAAAATTTTCATCAAATTTAGTTAAGTGGCTATCGAGGTATCTTCGTTTAAAATTAGAGAAAATAAAACACCTATCAAAATAGAAATTTTATCTCTAACTTTGAGTGAAGATATCTCGATAACAGTCTGTTCAAATTCAACAAAACTTTTTTTTTCAATTCTATATATTCATAAAATTTAAATAAAAAAAAAATTCATTGCATTTAGTTAAGTGGGTGCTGCTTAAAGTTAGAAAGAAAATTTAGTATGGGTACACATTTTGAGTTTTTATTTGAGCGAAGATATTTTAACAACTACTTGATTAAATGCAATAAAAAATTTTATTATTGAATTCTATGAATTCATAGAATTTAAATAAAAAAAGGTTTATCGAATTTTGTTAGATAGTTATTGAGATATCTTCGCTCGAAGTTAGAAAGAAAATTTAGTATAACTTTTATTTTGATAGACATTTTGATTTTTCTCTAAAATATCTTGATAACCACTTGATTAAATTTGATAAAAATTTTTATTTGAATTCTATGAATCTATAAGATTCAAATAAAAAAAAAATTTATCAAATTTGGTCAGATGGTTATTGAGATATCTTTGCTCAAAGTTAGAGAGAAATTTGGCGCAGCTTCTATTTTGAAGGCGTTTTGATTTTTCTCTAATTTTGAGCGAAGCTATCTTGACAACCACATGGTTAAATTCGATGATTTTTTTTTTATTTGGATTCTATGAATTCATAGAATTCAAATTAAAAAGAGATTATCATATTCAAGCCGGTAGGTGTCGAGATATCTTCGCTCAAAATTTTTAAATTTTTTATTTTTACCGGGATCTGCATGTCGATCAGTATCAAAAAAGTAAGTGCAGGAGTATCAAAAACGTAAGGTTTGCTTCACAGGAATAGATTCACCTGCGATGGGAATTCTGATTACAACTCGAATATTATTATTTTCTAGCTCACAAAAAGTATTTGCAATAGTGTTTCTTTCTTCTTTCAATTCATTATCGTCAGTTAACAATACACTTGAAACATCATTTTTTGTCGCAACATTAACGCCCCAAATTCGAAGTCTATGGTAGGCAATGTCACTATTGATTGTACTTATAATAGCTCGCTTAAGGTCACAAATGTCATTATTTATTCCAATGTTAACTTTGAAAAGCGAACCGCTGCCCAATAAATAGCACCAAAATGTAATAGTTATTTCAAGGATAGTGGTTGACATTATGTACAGTACGTTCAATTAAACTTAGATACTGCACAAGAAAAATGCTCGATAGATAGTGTTGTTAGCCGATCGACTAACGGTCGACCGGCTAAGTCGTCGGCTTAGTCGGCTGTTAAGGGGTAAATTCAGGGGGCCTGCTATTTGATCCATTTGATTGGTGATTTATTACGCAATTGCGTTTAAGTAGAAAATCATAAAATAAGTTTTCTTCGTATTATATTAGAAACATAAAGATGTATTTATAGTAAATTTTCACAACTTTATTATTAAACATGCATATCTATACAAAAAAAATGAACTTTTTCTATTACACAATATGCTAATGAAAATAGTCTAATATTCTAGTTTGTTCAATATACAAAATTGTATCTAAATTGTATCTAAAAATTGAAATAATCTTAAACCCTAAATGTAATCAATTATCTTGAAAAGCGTTCGCTGCGTTTTCATGTTTCGAATCACATAATGCACGTCCAAGTTGAAGTCCAAGTGAAAAAGCAACATTACGTGGAACGGAATTACCTAAAAAAAAAAGAAATAAGAATAAATATACAATTTTTGAATTTTTTGAATGAATAATTGTGGTTTAGAAATTCACCAATAACTTTGTATTGATCCCCGATTGTACCACATAAAATATCAGAGTCTAAAAAGCCTGCAAAAAAAAAAAAAAAAAAAAAAAATATATATATATATATATATTAATCAAAAGCAAATATAATATATACATATACTATATGTTACTAAATAAATTTACCTTGTGCCCGAGCCGCTTCACGAACACTGACCATTCGTGGTTCCTTATAGTGAACGGCTTCCGGATAATATCCACTAGGGCCTAGTTCAGTTTAATAATAATATTTATATAAGTATATATAAAATCAATGATATATAACATAAAATTTTACTTACGCATTACTGTACATATTGTTGGAAATAAACCACTCGGATCAATCCGTTGACAATATTTATAGCGATGTGCTACTTTAGGAAACTTTATAAGTTTAGCATCATAACTTGGTACAGCATGTATATCAGGTATAAATTTATGTTTTCGAGCATAATAATAATCTCTTGCTGGAGGAAATGTTGGTATCCTTCGAAGAATTTCTTTGGTCCTCAAGCTCATTTGATAAGTTTTGTGATCTGGAAATGAAGGGTACCAGATATCACCTTCTCCAATTGGTGGTAGGTCACTTATATGATCCTTTATTGAGACCATGGGAAAACTTGCATATGCCTCATATGTCTCCTTTTTTAAACCTTTGTGAGTAACCGGTGGCATTGTTGGCAGAACCTCTCCTTGAGCTTTTAATATTAAAAAAAAAAATTTTTTTTAAATCATTTTAGACATTTCTCAAATTTTAAATGCTGTACATCTCAAGATATTATTTCTCGAGTATTTTAAAAATAACTTACCAGCTCCCCACAAGAACATTCTAAAACGTTTTTGGGCGCATCCCATTCTATCAGCCGATACTACACCAAAACGGATTTGATATCCAATATCAAGAAGACATCCGATTAATCGATAAAAAACTAGTCATAATATAGAAATATTAGATATTAAATATATAGAAAAATTTTTCAATTTATTATACATATTTCGAATTTTACCTTCTGAGGACGTAATCTTTCGAACATTTTCCAATAATAAGTATCGTGGATGATAGTAATCCACGAAAGAAACAACAGAAGCGACAAGAGAATTATTTCTTTTTGATTTGAGATTATGTCGATTCCTATTCATATAAGAATACCCTTGACAGGGGGAACCTGCGAGTATTATCTCAACATCTCCCTATTTAATTATTTATATAAAATAAAAATATATAAAATAAAAAACCTCCAGTGAAGAAGAAAAAAAAAATAATAATAAATAAATACTTTAGATGGAACCCGAGCTCCTGGAGCGCCCAAAATCGCATCAGAGAGTATATTATTTACACTCTGATTCAATATATCAATATCATCGTGCTGAAGGTTATGTCGATAAGTTTTTATAGCAGCCTCGTATTTATCAATAGCCCTATATGTTATTTGAAGAATGGTAAGTCTTTTATTACACTTAATTAACTAATTAACTAAATTTATTAAATATTATTATAAATAAATAAAACTTGCCATTGACAGTGTGTAAAGCCTGCATCTTCAAATCCTCGACCTAATGAACCACCACCACAAAATAGATCAAGACATTTCAACTTATAAGTGTTTCCTATTTTGAAAGAATATTTTGGAAAGTTTGTAGAAAGTTGTTGTAATTCTGATCTAATAGGATGAATTGTTCTAGTTATTCGGTCATATTTCCTTGAAAAGTAAAACTAATCGAATAATAATATGAAATTAGAAATAATATTTATAGGAAAAATTTATTTAAAAAAAAAAAAAAAATTTAAACATACATGATTTCCAGCACCACGATGTTGAAGGTTAACGGGTATTTTTTTGCCAAATTTAACAAATTCGACATGACAAGGACAAATCACATGTTCAAATTTATTAAATTCAAAAATATAATCAGAATATAAAATTTCGTTTATCGGTGCCTTAGGTCGTTTTACAGATGTTTCACTCCATCTGTAAAATCGTCTTAACCAAACAGATTTTCTTTCTAAATCGAAACGTTCAATACTACAAACTGTGTATAAATCCAAGATATCTCCTTTAAGTGGCGTTATTAAAATACAATCATTAACATTATACTTTTCAGTAAATTCTTCATAATAGTTAGGTTCAGGTCGTTTACAACCGCATATCAAACCATCCTCTTTAGGAAGTATTCCAGGGTGGAAAGATAAGAATGAATCTTCAGTTTCGTAACTGTATTGATAACGACAGAAAAAGGAATAATCAAGATCTAATAAAAGTCATTAATGGGTTTAAAAAAAAAAAAAAAAGATTGTAAATATTATAAATTTTAAAATTAAAAAATTTTTTAAAAAAATAAAATACTTGAACAACCTGGACAACTCGATTTTCCAAAGTGCACATCAACCTTGCGAATTATATTTTCAATAGGCCACGGCTCCTGGCACTCACAATTAGATGTGAAAAATAATTCTCTTGATTTATTAATGCTGATATCCTTATCAAGTTTCCTGAGTATAGTTTGGCAGCGTGTGTATAACCACAGTAATCGAAATGATCCGTGTTTACCACTTTTTATGAACGTAGTTATCATACTATAGTAAAGTTTGTTTTTTTTTTTAGTTATAAATTAAATAACTAAGTTGAATGTATACAATGTATTACATACCAAAACCAACGACCATCAGTGGATCCAGCGGTAGGTTCAACCTCAACAGTATCTCCTACTTTAAGAGTTATACCATCTATTGTAACTTGTTTAAAACAATGCGGTTCCTCAAGCGGATTCTCAAATAATAATTGACCCCTGTGATTAATCTCTCTGAATTCATCATCATCCTGAATATATACCATCGGGATACATTCACTTTCGCTAATCGGCACTTTAGAAAAAAGTCAATTCGGATTACATGAATGCAGTACGGCACGTGACAAAATAATAAAATCATTTGCAAATACCTAAGGGCTGTAATAATTCCGGAAATAATTCATGAAACCAATTATATACTTTTGGTGTAACAACTGTCTTTTCGATTCTGTTTTGCTATAAAACATTGATTAAAAGTGATAAGTAAAGAGATAAATAGAGATACCGTAAATTCTCGAAATAGCGGGCATGGGCGTTATTTTGAATTTTGGCCCGAATTAAGCTTAATTTGAGCCAAAATTCAAAATAACGCCCATGCCCACTATTTCGAGAATTTACGGTAAGTAAAAATATGCAACAGCGACTTACACCTTCAATACAAGAATATTTTGCGGGGCAATATTCATCTGGTTACATTAATGTGATAATATTGTAATAATATTGTGATAATGTTATTATATGTTAATAATAATAATAATAATAAAATAATAAAGAAGTATAAACAATGCAACTCATTTTTCATTAAATAAATTTATATTACCTGTAAAGAATGGCAAACGCGAATAATCTTCACCAAGATTGTATGCTTCATGCCAAATTAAATGCATATTATTTGCAACAACAGATCTGAAATCGGTATTACCGTTGACTTCACTAAGCCATTTTTGAAAGATACTATCATCTTTTCTATGTTGGGATATCCAGTCAAAAAAGCCGAATCTAAAATCCTCAAAAAGGACATCCGGATTATTATTTAAATAATCAAGTACATATTTCACTAAATGTGCTTTCCATAAAAACGCAATCCAAAGATCATGATACATAGATTGTGGAGTTCGAAGCATGTACCACACTTTATCATTAAGATTTGATTGGATCATGACTTCTAAATTTGATTCATCCAAACCGAAGCCACTAATTGAAAATGTTTTAAAAATTGTCTATGCAAGAAAAAAGAAAATCAATATTAATTTTATTTAATTTTTTTAATCATATAACTTATGAATGTTAGATGTCGATATATATATACCCTTTGACATGACATATTCTTATCACCTTCAACAATATTACCATCCCAAAGTATAATTCTTTCGGTACTTCTTTCCGGAAAAAAATCCACAACCTTTAAAAAATTATTAATTTAGATAACACAATTTTTGTGACAGAAATCACAATTATACAATTTACAAACCTCACAATCCAAACTGTCATAAAAAATAAAATTATCGAGATAAAATTTTTCATAATCATTGTCGGACATTGTATCATTAAAATCAGTAGACTAAAAAAATTTTTTTAAATAAAAACTAATGAGTAAAAAGAAAAAAACCTATAAATATATATATATTATAATGTATGTATATATTACCATTAAAGCATCTAAACATTCTTGTTCAGTATAAACAATTTCATTTTCTAATATTTCTTTTTTATACAATCCACAAACTTTTTTTCGTGGAGGAATATCAACATAAACTTCATTTACCTGCATTTAATCAAGAAATTTAATATTAAATAAAAGAATGGATACAAATTATGAAAATATTTACCGAAGAACGTTTCTTTGATTTAATAAGAACTGTAAGAGTACTAAGAGTTTTTTCAAGTTTTGGATCATAATTCTCCATTATAGGTTTGTCACTTGACATGCTATCATCTGAACATGAAAAGGACATCTCACTCGAATTATCAGAATCATCATCGCTTGAAAATCCCTATAAAACAAGAACAAATTTAATGATTATATGATCAATAAGTACTAGATAACTGTCTGAAAGGATAAGATTATAATTATGCTTATGCTATAATTAATACTAACATCATATTCTCCCCTCTCAAGAAAATTTCTCTTATTACTGTCTTGTTTCATATTTTAATACAATCAAAATTTATCAAAACTTATTTTTACGCGTTCAAAATTTTTTGAACCATTAAAAAAGAAATAACATTTAAATTTAAACTTTTTTAGAGTTAAAGTGTAGGTGATATCATTATAATTTTATGATTTTGTGTCACTGTTTAACTTCTTTTTTTTTTTTTAGGAATATTTACATCATTGCTTTCATTCAGATCGATCGACGCGTTGCATTCTCGCGTTTACGCATAGCAAATGATCTTGTGCATGCTTATCACGTGATTTTAAAGCCAAAGTTAGAAGTTGTAAGTTAAAATATCAATTCCTTACAATTTTCATGCCACCCTTCTCTTAATGCGTTTTTTTTTTTTATCATAACACGAAAATTTAAATGCGACCCTGGCAATATACAGTGCTTTATTATACTTGCTAACAAAAATTCTAAAACAGTAGGGTGAAACATGAGGGAGATGTGAGCCAATAAAATCGCTATAATATTACTAAGCTCACAACTCAGGTTTCACCCTGCTCTATGATAAAATTAGCTTGTCCAACAAGCCAAAGTCACTTAAAAATTTCAAAACCTCAATCAAATTAATGTTCAGGTTTCTGATTTTGAATTAAATTAGTGACGTATGTGTTTAAATAAGTGATTTATAAATTCTATTTTTTTTTATATGACGATAATATATCATCCACTTGTTCTCGAAATAGAATCATCCTTATTACAGCATTGAGAGATTTGCTAGTAAGTATACAGTATATATATACAGTATTCAAAAGCTAGTGATAAAAAATGCAGCTGACGTTACTGATCATCACGTGATTGTGACGTTTAACTTTTCTTGATTATTAATCATTATCGTTATACTGTATTGTTCTGTATGTTGTTAACATTACTGCATTAACGTTAATATTTAATATGGATGGAAAAACTTGTGGTTCATACACATACGAAACAAGATATGAAAATTATGCGATAAAAATGACTTCATACTTCGATGATAAAGAAAATTCGAACGAACCAATTTAAATCACTTTTGTGATGTGCTCGAAAAAATAAGAGCATCGTAAAAAATTCCAAACATTTCATGAAATAAACCGAATCGAAATATTTGGCTAAATTCAGCCGTTCAAATTTTAAATCTTTAGAAAATTGAAAACATTAAAAAACTTGAAAATCGCAAAACAACTTCTCGAACTTGGATGGATTTAAATCATAATAGAATGTATTGGTTCACATAATACAACTAATTATTTTTATATAAACTTATGTGCACTATTTAAAACAGTCGCTAAGGGAAGTGTCATTTATTAGCTGATTTTTTGTAAATAGTAAAATTTCCCCCTCCCTCAAATGATTACGATTATATATAGGCATATATATATGTGATCTATCGGCATGATATTTTAGCACCCTTCCCCAATATATATTTGATAAAAATTATCATCGCTAAGTATTATCATCGCATAAAAAAAAAAAAATTCGCAGAATTATCGGAACTTCAAGTTTTATGCATCAATGACATCATCTACATTTTTTTATGGGCGATACTAGGTTGGCTTAGTGATACTAAGTCGATTAGAGATACAGTAGAGGTTTAATGCATTGAGATAAGCTGTACATATTAAATTAAATAAAGCATGTCATGATATATTATAGATGTCTATTGTAACTCAACTTTTCATACATATCTTCAATTCTTCGAATCACAAAGCTTTCAAGATTATATCATAACCAGGATTCGACCATTGATTTATAATATTCTAGATCTTTAATAAATGAAAAAATAAGTGAATTGTATTCTCAATAAATCGGGTTTGAAAAATCAATAGATTCTTCTAGTCGCATATTTTAAAATTCGAAAATAAGAAGAAAATTGTGTTCAGTAAACTTTGATTAGCTTGTGTAATATTATCAGTATAAATCATTATCGTTATAAAAAGGGGTTTGCTATAAAAAAAATTTATTTCGTAATATATATATATATTTATAACTTAATTACTATACGTATCATTTATAGTTAGCACTAATTATTATTACAATTTGGGTAATTATTTTTGAAATACGTAAGACCAAAATGTCATTACATCATTCCATTTATATAATTAGCTTAGTCAGTTAACACATAATGTAAATTTTTCGGACTATAGCCTATAGGGATAGTGCCATAACGATAGCTAGCACTAGTCGAAATAAAGCATATCAGGCAAATATCATGGCTTTTTTAGTCCCGATATGGCACTGATTAATGGCTCAAATCGTGTCATTTCCGGGTTCATATCGGAGCTCTTTGGCAGGGTTGGCAATGGAGCCAATGGAGCTCAATGGTTGTGCGAATGGGGCTCAAAAAACTAGTATCCATTGGCTCCATTCAGAGCTCCATTGGTTCCATTCACAACTCCATTGAACTCCATTGCCAACACTGCTCTTTGGTAAATATCAGAAACTCGATAGATCTTATAATTTTACTGATAGCCCTATAAGTATGAACCTGGAAATAGCACGATTCGAGCCATTAATCATAAAGAAGCTATATCTGCCTGATATGCTTTATTTTGACCAGTGTAGTTACGACTAGAGTTGTTAATGGATTGGGTTGGAGTGGGTTATTCCTCAACTAGGGCTGTTAACGGAGTGATCCAGAGTGGTGCGGTGTATACTCTGCCAGAGTAACTATCAAAACCAAACCACACCAAAGCTATTACTACAGATTATAATTTCACCCGGAGTATGTTACTCCAGATTAATTTTATAGTATATTTTAAAACGTCTTGCTAATTATAGTTTAGAATTTGGTATCTAAAACAACTTTATCTGTTATTTACTATAATGCTGAATGTCTTTTAATTTTAATAATATACAACAATTGACAAAATTATTTATATTTTTAGTATTAGTAGTAGCTCTGGAGTATATATAAACTAATCTATTTGATTCATATAGCAATCTGGAGTGGTGTAGTATACAAACCACACTGGCATGAAGTGGTTTATACTCTTAAATTATTCTAGAGTATAATACTCCATTAATAGCCCTATTCTCAACCCACTTCAACTTGAGTTGGGCCCACTCCAGAGCCACTCCAGATTTGCTTAAAGTTGCTCCAGTTCACCCCAGCATATCTTTAACTCACTCCAACTTGGGTTGGGATCACCCCAGAGTTGTTCTGAAGTATGCTACTCCATTAACAACTCTAGTTACAACATAAGCTTAACTAGTTACAGCTCATACCATAACATCATATTTTTATGTATCCTGTTCCATCAGGTTAAGTTTAAAAAAAAATAGATTTTACACTAAACTTTGCAAATATTTTTTTATTGGAATAAAAAATGGAATTTCAACTTACAGAATCTGCTATTGTATATATAAGGAAAAACATACATTATTAGTTATGTAATTTGATTGGCTACTAAATAAGCATTTTCAAATTTTCGTTTAGCAAATATAGTATTTAAATAGGAAATAGGAGGTATAATATTACATTGGTGCTTTTGTAGCACAAATATAGTTAGAAATCTTTAATCATAAGAATTCTTTCTAAAAGCTATACTTTCTCTAACTTAGCTATTGCTAGTGTTACAATGCTATAGCCTTCTTAGTGTAAATATAGCAAAGTAACAAGGTCACCCAGTGCAGTGATATACTTTATGAATATACACGGGGTAAACATGAAGTGTATACTTTAACTTCACAGCAGGAGACAAACAGTTTAAGATAATAACAGTTTATAGATAATAATATTTATTTATAATAAATTCATGGTGATAATCTTGCTTGTAGGAATTATTCTAGAGGGGGAATATCACACTTTACAAGTAGAGAAGGATAAAAAGGTAGGGGCTAGATTCTATGAGAGAGTAGTAAACTTTAACTTGGATAGAAGGGGCAAGGGCTCCTTTTTTATAACTTTTCTACAGATAGAAGTGTAATGGTATAATTGCTATACCATGTAGAGGTACTTAGAGGCACTTTGT